TTTATAAATTAAGTATCAATAAAATCTTTATATTCCTAGAACATTTAGTGGCACTAATATTCTTCCTTTGAGGAGGAGGATGTGAATTTGAACTCAGTGAGTGTGATAAGAGTGTACCTTTCCTTGTTATAGAGAAGGTGTGTACATATGGGTGGATGAGTGGGGGTTATTGATAATTGTCTCTTAAAAAAAAAAAATCACAACCACAAACTCAATCCTTACATCGATGACAAATTTTGAAGGAAAAATAATAGTAAAATCCTTTTAAATTATATAATTGATAATCTAATTTTTTAAAATGTCATAATTACATTGAAATTCTTAAGGATTTTTGTTTCAATTTTAATTTAAAAGATTATTTTACTCTTATCAACAAGTTGTTTTTAATAACAAAAATTATATTTAACAATTTTTGATTTCTTATTAAACTCTTGTAATTCACAAAATAAAAGCTATTATTCCTTAAATAAAAGTTGTGATTGAAACTTGTAATTTTGAGACAGAAATTACATTTGATAAGTTATGATTTCTTGTTTAATTTTTATAATTTACAAAATAAAAATTATTATTTTTTAAATAAAAGTTATGATTGGAGTTTGTTAACTTAAATAAAGATAAAATGGTTTTTTTTACTTTAAAATTTATAACATAAAATTCTTGAAGATTTTAATAAAATTATGATATTTTAAAGGATTATATTGTCATTTAGGAGAAATGTTATTGTCATTTTTTCAATTTTTAATTCACAAAATCAGTATACTTATATTTTTATTAACTAAACTAATATTGGATAACTAACAAGAGAAACTTGCACTCAAATTCATCAATTTCCAGCATACCTAATACATTGCTTCTTCTTTTGTACTTTATTTGCCTTTCACTTTCTTCATAATTTACGTAATACGGTCCTTCAACGTCCCATTGTTATTATGACATTTTGTCGTGAATGAATGCAACCGTAAAAGAAAAACAATTTTCCAGGAAAGTTCTTGCACGTTACAGTCCTCAGGATCAGCACTTTTACCATGACAGACAACGATAATTCAACTTTATCAGACTCCACTTTTCCGGTGCTTGCTGGGAAAGTTTGGATATTCATTGGCATTAATCACTGGATAACGCTATTTGTAAATGGCCCAACAAATTATTTTTCTTGTCTTTCATTCATAAATTTATGAACAAACTTATTAAATGTTTTGCAACAAGAACATGATAACCAGGACACGTCATTCATATTCCATAATACTACTCAATCGTGTGATGTTGAATTATAAAAGATATGCACTTGCTATACTTTTCATTGAGAGTGTTGTTAGTCAAAACAAAAATATTATAATTAATTAAGCTCTACAAAACTAAGATTATGTAACATCGTACATTTTTATATGGGATGAGTTGTTTATATATTGGTTATTTTAAAGGGAGAACTATTCTGCAAGTCCTTATAGTTTATCTCCATTTTAAATCAAGTCCCTGTAATGCTTTTTAGTTTAATTGGGTCCTTATGCTTTGATCTGTCACTGTCAAGTTCGCTAACCCCTGGATTTAATTGTTGACACGTTGGACTGGAAGGAAGACCATTTGGACCGAAACTTCAAAGTGAGGAAGACGATCACAATCAACCTCGTGCTGTTCTGTACTTCAACAAGAATGAGAAGGTTGTCCTATTTCATTGGAAGGGTCGCGTAAAAAATTACCCATTAATCATGATTGTTCTAAATTCAATTGTCTTGGTGCCTATTCCAATCACTTGAATTTTCTTGTTTGGTTTCATCACTTTAGTTTGTCGGTCACATGGCTATTCTTAAGGGTCTTCCTAAGACCTTTTACTTTGACTACATAGTCAATTTCAACAAAACCAAGAATTAGGACTTCATCACAATGATTCTCCCACCTTCCTCTCCACCGGCGATCTATGTCATGATTTCTCCTTCCATGTTATTCCTGAAACATTTTTAGTGTCTCATAAATGATTTTATGTGTGTTATTAATTTAGTTTTAAGTTGTACATTCAAGCGAAAAATGAGATAACATTGATCCCACCATGTTCTATTTTCACTTTGGCAAACCGAGCATTGTGAGCTCAGCAAGATTGTGCTAGGAATATTCATTTAATGATAAATAAATGATCAGAAGGCTCTTCATGGTGGCAGCATGCCAGCGTGCATGGCGGTGGTCGGAAAGGCCATTATCTGAGTTCAAGTAGTCACATTGTGAAGTATGCTCGAACCACCAGGCAGCTTGTAACTGTGTCAAAGCGGTCACCGGTAAAGTCTAAGGAGTCAAATCGCAATTCGCCGAGGCTCTACCTTCATGCTGCAGAGTTTTCATCCCTTATAAGATCAGCATGTCCACCAACTGTACCAGGTTTTCCCTTTTATGAAGTGACGAGTTCATAAAAAAATCATTACATTTTACATCACATATGTTATCTATACATGCATGGCTTTATTGATTGGTTTGCAGCATTAGGTTCTGAAAACAGACAACGGGAGCGGCTTATGAGTGAAAAGCGAAGAATAAATAAATTGAGGAATCAGAAGGAGGCTCCACCTGTGCTGTCCATTAGCTTAATTGCCATTTGTGTGTTTGAAGGGTTCTAAAGTCCTTCAGGGAATGTGAACGCTTTGCTTCAACCTCATTCTAATTGAAGTATAGAACAGCACGAGTGTGAGCGTGAACATCTTCCTTGCTTTGAAGTTTCAGTCCAAATGGTCTTCCTTCCAGCATGTCAGCGATTAAACCCATCTGGCTGCCACATCAACATACTCTAACGGTGTTAGCAACTCTGTTAATCCTTATTAACAAATTTAGATTCCAGGATTAACGGACTTGGCAAATCAAACTATAGGGATCCAGTTAAAACAAAAAAAAAAAAAATTATAAGGACCTGATTCAAAATGAAGATAAATTATAAAGATTTGTGGGATAGTTTCTCTATTAAATAGGAGTAAATATAAAAAGATAGAGTTAATTTGAAGACTAGTAACTACTTTATTGAGGTGAGATTTAGTTAAAAATGTTTTACAATTTTAAATCGAGGAAGTACTTATTTTCAATTAAATCAAGGGTTAATATACAATTTGAACCATGAACTATAGGTTTAAGGGTGATTTAAATTCTAAATTTTAAAAAAGTACATTTTGAATCCTAAATAATTAAAATTGAGGCAATTTTGCTCCTACCATTAACTTTCAACTAATATTTATTAAATTCATTTAAAAAATTGCATTTTAAGTTTCAATTTGACAGAAGTCTGTTGAAAATTAATGTTAAGGGCAAAATTGTCCCAACTTCAGTTGTTTAGGGTTCAAATCACCCTTAATCTATAGTTTAAGGTTCAAGTTGCATATTAACTCATTTGTACTTTAAAAAATATACTCTAATCAATAATAATTCAACAATAACAAAAAAGTATATTTTGCATATTATATCAATTTTAAAAAAACTTTTGAAGGAGTGTGTAAGTTTCTTGATTTGAATTGATTAATGAAGGTGAAAATTTATAAAACAAAACTAAATATTTTTATGATAAATAAAGGGATAGAGAAAAAAGCATATGAAGAGAAATCTATTCTAGATTTTTTCCTAACAAAGAATGATAATGTTTTTTTTTACACCAATATTATTATGAGATTCCATTACGTTAAAGAACAAACGAGAAAAAAATATGAAAGTGTGCTTATAGTGAAAGATTATGTTATGCTCTTATTGCTGTCGTTGATAGCCTATCAAAACCCCATTTAGCAAGAATAAAAATAGTTAATTCAACACTGTCTCATTCACACCCACCATATTCTCCACCAAAAACTACTTTACTCATTATTATAATTTAAAACCTTCTTTTATGTAGTTTCATTATCATCATCATATTATCATTTACCTTTTTTTATTCTTTCTTCTCATATCTTGAGAAATTTATAATATTACTACGAGTTAATATGTAATTTGAACCCTAAATTATAAGTTTAGGGGTAATTTGTATCCTAAACTTTTTAAAAAATACATTCTGAATCTTAAACAATTAAAGTTGGGGTAATTTTATTCTTACCATTAATTTTCAACAACCGTCCATTAAATTGAGGTCTAAAGTATAATTTTTTTCAAATAAATTTGACAGACATTTGTTAAAAGTTAATAGTAGGAGTAAAATCGTCCCAACTTTAATTGTTTAAAGTTCATAATGCACATTTTTAAAGTTTAAAATTTAAATTACCCCTATACGTATAGTTTAAGGTTTAAATTACATATTAACCCTTAAATCAAGACACATATAATTGTATATCTTTTACAAATTATTTAATCTATAACAAATTATTGTTAATAATATTATTAACATATTTAAATTCACATCTCTTTATTTGATTGAATAAAAATATATTAAGTATATAAGTGTGTCCTTATCTTAATTCCTTTATAATTTGAAATCCTTTCTAAATTCTTATTATTTCAAATCTTTATATGCACCCTTAAAATATTACCTCATAGTAATAATAACATTTGTTATTTAAAGTACCCAAGTAAAGAATTTTATACATATGAATTTGAAATGTGAGATTTTAAATCCAAGTCTAACAATTTAAACACTACCTAAAATAGTTCTAATGCTGGAAATTGTGCTTTCATCTGTCAATAATCCTAGTTATTTAGATTATTTATTTAACTCCAATCACCATTTTTTTGAAGTTGGCAATTATTTATATTCCACTATTCTGCATCTTATGTCTGCCCCAAAAAGAGTTGAACTCTCCAAATTTAAATTTACTCAAAACCAACACAACAATACAAACATGCTGTCACAATCAGCAATATATAATCCTATGATGAGTGTGCTTCAACTGTATGGTTGTAAAGGGACTAGAGCTTGTCCGAAAAGAGAAATCAACCCAAGCTTTTCAGACAAAATCCTAACGAAGTCCTTCAGCTGGGACAGATTAAAGAAACATTTGGATAATAATACTTCCAAACAATAAAAAAAAGAATCCAAAAGCTATTCAGAATTGACACATCAAGGTGCAAAAGCACACCTTGCAGAGAGAACTATCCTGGCATTCATTATTATTTGGTTCAGTTCTGTACAGGATACACGATGTCATATTCCATGGAAGAATCCATCTTTCTCATTAGTAGTGAAACCATAACCAAGAACAAGAATAGAATGGACCTAGACAAGAAGAAAATTCAATTTAACCACAAGTTTATCATGCTGGGGCAAAAATTGTAGCTAAACCTTGATCCATAGTTATTTGAAGTTGATCATATGCCATCAAAGTCGTTTTGTCGAACTTGTGTGTTCCTTTCCCGCTTGCCAGAACCTCCCCATCAACATCTATGATGCCTTCCTTATCCGGCTTGGTGACACGTGAGCCCGGCTCCAAGATGAGAGCTTTCACCTGTTTTTTGTTGCAAAATAAAGAAGCTGTCAAAATTTCCTTAGGCAGGCATAGTTAAGGCGCAGCGAGAGAAAGGTTGGGGGGGGGGGTTCAGGGATTCTAGTGACAGATAAGAAAGTTATGTTGCTTCTTTGTAAATGGAATCATACTGATAAACTCACCTTAAGGTACGTTACATATGGCGATTTTACATGGCTGCCACTACTTAATTCTGACATCAGTGACAGCAAAGCTAATTTTGGACAATTCTTGACAAGGATCAAGTCTAGGCAACCATCTGATAACTGCATTCATGAATAAAGTAACATATTATTATCATGAATGATAATTGAAGATGTCTCAAATAGGAAGAAAATAACAGCTTCGGTTATTTCACAGCCTCCAGTTGAATTTCCGAGGAATACAGAATATCGTGAAACATTTTGGTGGTACGCAGACATAAAAATGTTACATAAGTTGAAGTTGTACAAAACTTAATTACAGTTTCTTCCATGTTCGTGTCCTTCAATAAAAATAGAACACATGAATAAGCTTTTTTGAAAGAATAAACTAAATACAGATCTGGCAAACAAAATGTCATAAATTTAACTAAAATATCTAATATAGCAAATATCTAAACTGCATGAAGAATCTGATATAGCAAATACCTGAACTGCATGAAGTTTGAATCTACCCAAGTAAATCCCACATACAGTCACATTCTTTGGTGTCGTTGTTACTTTCAACGCATTGATTCATAAATCTAGAGGATCTAATTTGCTAAGTTAATCATCAAGTACCATCCATCATTGGTATAATCATGTTCATTCCAACTCTTAGCTCCGAAAAGTTTAATTTCCGCCAGAAACAATCAATCAAGTCAATATCAAAATACCACTCCTTCTATCTTAACCTCCATGAAGCGAGTCTTAAATTAAATTGATACCCTCATAAACATTAATCCTATCAATGAGTCCAAAGCTAACCTAAATTTCTTAAAACATATAAACACACCTTTGCATCAGGTGCTGCCAAGGCACCTTGAGAGCCCCAAGGAACATTATGAAGCCAAACAGAAACAAAGGGTCCATTTAGGGCTCTCCAATTCAAATTCTCTAGGTTAATATCTGGTCCTCGATAACAGGACTTCCGTAACTTAATATAGTCTGCTTCACTTTGACCCTGATTGTTGTCTTTGCCTGTAAATTTTCCAGTATAACTCGTGGGCTCCCCAAAAGCTTCAAACCCAGGTGCAGGCACAAATGAAATGCATCCAGTATATTGCCTCAAATGTAAGATTCGATTGAGAGCCTAAAACAGAAGATAGGGCTTGAACTACTATACAGTAAATCAATGACAATGGGCAAAAGGAAACAATAATTAGTAAAGTCAATCACTTATCAATCAAGCTAATTGAAATACAAAAAATTGGGGGGAACACGAAGTCAAAACTGCATCAACTTAAAGTATTTGAAAACATCAGAAACTAATGAGTACACCATGCAACATGATAGTTATTTTCTCATACCCCTACAAAATTCAACACTCAGGTATTCATTACTTAAAAATGAAAGTATTAGAACATAATTACGAAACACTTAATTTTAAGAGAGACACCTCTCAACAACAGAAAAACGTCATATATAAACATGTCATCATATTAATATGGCTTGCTTACATAAAAATCTATTCGAGCACTTCCCATCCATCGATACTTTTCCGACTCAATGTCAATATCTGCAACCAGTCCTATAAAAGAATAATATCGTTAATAAATATCATCATTATCTCTGAGTAACAGCACAGGCAAAACAGACACTACAAGTGTGTGATAGATGATTAAAGAAGCTAGCAGTTAAGATGTGTTCGTTTGAGTGTCAGCTGCTGCTTCATTGGCATAGCCCAACAAATTGTAATTACCCCATGCAAGCATCAATACACTGAAAAACCTGGTTTCTCCTTGCCTGATGGTAGCCACATCAAGAGATCGCTTATGACCTGTCCATATTTGACACAAAGTTTAAAACTTATCAGCAGAGAAAACAGAATAATGGTGAAGTTATAACATATTAGGACATCAATTGTCTCCAACCTCGAATAATGGAAAGAACAGCATTAGCAGCAGTGCAAGGATCGCCAACTGAATCAAGAAGAGATTTTGCCATGCCATTTCCCGTACCTTCAGATAGAATCATTTTTTTCCCCCAAGGGGGGGGGGCGCTTATTAGAAAATTCAATATCTATAAAATGGATAAAGTTTCTCGGCGAAATCTTGTTAATAATATTAGCTCCATCATACAACCCTTCGCACTGATATAAGTATATTTGAATGGGAAAAGTCACAAGCTCTTGCTAACAAGGGGAAAAAATATACTCTTCATGAAGAGATTGATTAGTAAGGTGCAATACAGGGTTCCTCATCAAATTAATTATACCTCTACTGTTCTACCTGTTAATGTATCCTACTCCAGTAGATGTGTTAGAAGATGTTAAATATCAGATTCTGACTTCTATGCGCCATCTAGAAAAAATGAAGACAAAATAATAATAATAATAATAATAATAATAATAATCCTATAATGTTTCAACATCTAAAGTTTAACTCATTTGCGGGAACATCTGGTACCATTACAATGCAGAAGAATAGCAACATTGATAATAACTTCTTGTTTAAACAATTAAATTTTGAATGTAAGGATAACAAATCAGTGGTAAACCTGCAGGAATTACTCCAAGGGGTATTTTTATTGCGGTATCCCAATCCTGCCTTTCTAGCAGTCCATTCACAACCTACTAGAATGTAATAAAATTGTCAGATGAGGGGAAAATCACAGAAAGATGTAACAAGTGACGTGGTACAAAATTAATTTTGGGTTCATGCATAATGCATAAAGAAGTCAAACCAAATACAATGAACCATAATGGGGGTAAGACTAGGCACAAATGTTATAAGTTATAGTTATAAATTTAATTCATGCGAAAACAAATGTGAATGGCATGTTATAACAATACGTCAAATCAATAAGCTGGCAACCCGGGGACTAGAATTTACTTCCCCATTCCAGAAGGCCATATGTATGTCAAGAAAGAAGTGAATCAAGATAGTAACGATAAATTATTGTTCCATAATTCCCCATTAGCAGGGGCCAGATAGAACTACTCCATCAGCATAAATTGAAGGATATCGCAAGAGTGTACAAGCAGTAAATGGCTTTCATTCAATTGAAATATGAGGTTAACTTTGATGTCAGACTTTATCATGAGAGTATAGATTGCCTGCGAGTATAATGGCTCCAATATATACACAATCAATAGTTCCATCTATTAAAATCGACCAACTTCCAGATCATCTCCGACCTTTTCTTTCATTCCTTCTCTCCTTTTCATTTTGTTTTCAGCAGATAAATACAACTTTTAAATTTAAACTATTTGGGGGAAAAATAGGGGCTATCACTGTTAACTGTCAAGTCATCCACGACCATAATGGGACTCACTACAATATATATATATAAACATCAATGAAACTAACCTCAACTAGAATTCCATCTCCACTAACACAAACAATCCCATCATATTTTGAAATATCTAGTGTACGAGCAACTTCCTTGGCATGGAGGTGGTGTTTGGTTTCTGAGGAGTACATAAAACAACATTGATATATAAAGAGAAACAATTACTAAACTAATGGCAGGGTGAGAGGAATTGCCAAGCTCAATAGAAAAATCAGAACCTTGAAGTGTAATTTGGATTTCAGCATCATCGAGAAGAGGCTTCACGTGATGAAGAAAAATCTTTGTAGCAGCTTTTTTTCCGCCAAATGGATTGAGAAAAATAAAAAGCCTCTTAGGGCGACCTGTAATAGAGATAATTAACTACCTATATCTATACACTTACAGACCAAAAAACAATAACCAGGGAATCTCTATTGATTCAACCAGCATGTGAATCGCATTTATTCTTAAATAAGAATGGAGATGACAAGTTAAATGGATTGCTGATTTGCTGCCAAGAGCTTGTATTCGCAGTAAATTAAATGGCATAACTTATTTTTTCACCGATAACTCCAATTGTCAGTGGAGTTCAAAATCATTAAGTTTTAAATTAAACAGATGAAATAAAAAACCAACTTGGTGAAACCAAAAGTATGCAAATTAGGCAGTTCATTTGCAACAGGGATCATAAAATATTCTTCAACATTGTCGTGATCAAGGGTTTTAAACAGTCATATTCTCTCTCACTCTATGATTGAAATAGCAATTCATTTGCAACAGAGGATAGTAAAACCGTTCAACAATGCCAAAATTAAGCTTTTTCAATAGCCACAAACACTCTCTATGATTGAAGTTAAAAAAAAAAAAAAACACATGTTGAAAATCTACCGAATACCAATAATGTGCTCAAGCAGCACACCCTCTTTCACCTTAGCACAAGTATCAAACAGCTCATGGCCCACACACACACCCCTATATTAAAAAAAGAAAAAGTTTAAATAGCTTTGTGAAATCGCCAGAACGTTTACCGAAGGAATCAAGGAATACGCTAAGGTTCTGACACCACAGCCTCTGCGATTCCTCCGACAACGATTGAAACACGACATCTTTTCTGACGAGCTTCCCTCTGTTCCTAGGAGAGCAGCCACTCCAGTTATCAACGAGGCTTTTGATTTTAATATCGGACCCAACGGTGACAAACCCGAGGACCTCTTTTTCGAGGTGCAAACACCGTTGACCCCCGTCCAAACACCATAATGTGCCGTCGTGAAGCAGAGACACCGTCGTGACGGTACCGTTGACGACCACCCGGTCGGAGAATACAGGCTTCTGGTGATCGGGTCGGTCCATTTCTGATGCGAAATGAACTTAGACAAAGCCGTCTCTGACAAGTGACAACTCATGCGGAAATATATAGAATGCAACAACAATACAGAGGCTTGGGAGCGCACGCCAACGGTTCTTAGTACGACTTTACGCCAATAAAAGAAACTTGTCCCTTTGCCCATTGTTGTGAAAATCATTAGACAACGAAAATCTCAAAGTCCACCCCCCCCACCCCAAGTAAAAATTCAATATTTTTGGGTATGAATATTTGAAACGGCAAACAGAAATTGAATCAAAAAAGGATTATGTAATGAGAAAACCTTTTGAGGAGAAGTAGCTGTACTGGGGAATCTGGTTCGGTAAGTTGGCCAGTCATAACGCGAGGCACCAAACTTGAAAAGATTGTATTACGATTGCGTGATAAGATAAGATTGTATTGTTGAATTTTCTTTTCTTTTCTTTTCTAATTTTTTTTGTCATGAGATTGTATTGTTGAATGACGCTACGCAAAAGACGCACTATCAATATCTCCCACATAATAATATATAGTTAGAATTGTGTTGTTGATGCTTTTTTCTTTAACTGTAGTGTCATTCATGCTTTTTCGCCAGGTCGCATTATTTCTGCTTTTGACCTTGGGAGTTGCATCTCTCTCTTCTAAATAGTATAATAATCTATAAATTTTATATTATGAATGACTAAAGTATATCTCATACTTTAACTTTATACAAAATTTTATTTTTATTTTTAATTTTATAAAATATATTTTTAATTTTTTAATTTTATTATTCTTAGTTTCATCAACAAAAATTTTTAAATTAAATTTTAAAATATTAACAAAACAATATTATATATTAACATGTTAAGTTTAATTTTTTAAAAAAAATAAAGATTGATATAAAAAATAATTATTTTAAATTAAAGGTATTAGGGTTAGAGAAATGAAAATATATTTTATAAAATTAAAAGACTAAATTAAAATTTTATCTAAAGGATAGAAGGTTGATAGTACACTTTAACCAATATAAAATTACAAAAAAGAACGTTATAAAAAATTAATATTGATTAAAAAATAAAATCCCTTTTTTTGCAATCTTTTATACTATTTTCCTTAATTTTACATGTCATTCTTTAAAATTTTTTTAAAATCAACTAACAATTGAATTAAGAAATATTTAATAAAGAAGTGACATTCTACAGGGCACCTTAAAAAAGGAAAATTAGTATTTTAACCCATATAATTTTATAATATTTACAAAATATATTTATAAAAGTTATATTATTCATGAATCACAATAACGAATTTAAGTTATTCTTTTTACTCTTTCAATCTTAAATGTAAGGGACTTTTAACAACATGGTCACAACTAAGAAGAGTTGGGAAGATAGTTAAATGATTAAAATTAAAATGATATAAAACTTAAGGTCCCGTTTGGTTGGGGAGGAGGGGAGGGGCTCCTTTTTCCTCCCCTCATTTGGTTAGGAGGATGGGAGCCCCTCCCTTTCCCTCCCCTCCTTTGGTTAGGAGGAGGAGAGGGGAAATTTTTAAAATTTTCCCTCCCCTTCACTCCAAAGCTTCCCCTCCAAATTGAGGGGGGAGCTCCCCTCCCCTCCCCTCGAATCAAACAAATCTCAAATGACTTTTTAAATTTACCTTTATCTAAAAGTATAATTTTTTTTTAAAAAATACTAGGTAGTCATAAATAGGAGTAATATGGCTTTAATAAACAAAGAAATTCTTTGATAGATGACATACATCATATCATCCCTAATCTATTCAATGCAAATATAACATTTAAATAATATTAAATATTAATTAATTATAATATTAATGATAATGATAGTAGAGAGGGAAAATATAATAAATTAAATAGATATTTTATTATAAAAATAAATTTATTAAAATAATGACACAAAAAATTTCATTTGACTGAATTGATATAATATTATTGAATTAAATGACTCATAAAAAACATAGTATACATGATTTATTTAAAAATTTCTCTATATACAATATAAATTTGTCTGTTTTTTTGGTTTTTTGGTCCTGGCAATAAGAGCAGAACGTCAGCGTCTTCTTATTGTTGTTGTGGTTATCTTGGCGAAAGGCTAGCGCCTCGCTGAATTAAATAATAACCAATACTAGTAACAAGCATCATCAATACTCCATAAAAGACAAAACGCAAAGAACCGGCCGGCTGTACAAGCAGCGTAATTATTAAGCAAACGACGCAAACCACCATTGACAAAATGACATTTATAATAAAACCGTTCCCCTTTTTTAGTTTTAAATTTTCCTATTTTCTCTGTTTTTTTTTCCCCTTATCATAATAAAGATGTTCATTCTTGTTTTTGCGCCAAAAAAATGTATAACGGGCATAGATCCCGCGCATCGCACGGGTTTGATAAAAAATAAAAATAAAAATAAAAAAGTACCTCAAGTCAACACATTTACAGAATTATTATTTTAAGTAATAATATTATTTTATTAGACTAAATAAATATTTATCAAAATATATTTTCAATAATAATTTTTTTTAAAAATGAATGAAATTTTTAAATAATAATGTTGACTTATTAGAAAAAAGTATAATTTTCTAGTCCAAAATCATTTGCTGCTGTATTTTGAAAGGTTCATTTGCTGACGAAAAAAAGCAATGAATATAATGATATAAATGATAGATGGAGATTGGTCAAGAAATTAAAATTGGTTCAAATTCCCTTCACGAAGAGACCGAAACACAAAAAGATGTATTCATGTCTTTTGAGAAAGAGGTTCAACTATTATTGTTCAAGCTATAGATTGAAAAACTTCCTTGTAAACTACATTTGTTGTGGAACTAAGAGGCCTAAAATTTGAATCATGAATAAGAAGTTTAAGCCCATCCTTTGATTTAACTCTCGAGAAAGCAACATATAGTTGGCCATGAGTAAATATTGGATTTGGCAAATAAACTCTAACTCTTGACAACGTTTGCCCCTAACTTTTATTGATGGTCATTGTAAATGATAGGACAATAGGAAATTGTCGTCGACGCATGACAAAAGGAAGATTACCCTCAGAAGGATTTAGATCCATACGATGAATATAAACTTCTTCACCTGGATTTGATCCATTAAGAATTATTCCCCTTATAAAGTGGTCTGCCAACAAAGTGATCCTCAGCCTTGTTCCATTACAAAGTCCATTAGCCTAATCTATGTTTCTCATAAGCATTACTGGGACTCCAACCTTAAGGGTTAACTTGTGTGGAGCCATTCCTGAACATTCAATTGTGTTCAAGAATTCAGTATTGTAGATATCTTTAAAAGAATCTGAATCCTCAGTTGCTTGCATATTGAGTCTGAACTAAAGTATGTAACAGCCTCGCTCGGGAAGATTGAACATATGTAACTATTCAATTGATCGACAACTTCTAGAGTTGGAGCCAATATTGCTTTATTTGTGAAAAAATCTTCCTGCACGAAATTTTCTTATAACTTTAGATAAATACATTTCACAATTTTTTTCAAAGGATCTGTGTACTCAAAGATTAAAAATTCTTTAGGTATGTCTATGTTTGATTTACCATCACCTTGATTATTGATTGATCCATCTCTTACCCTTAGAAGCCAATCCAAGAAAGATTGAATTTCATCCTTTCCCATTTCTAAACTGATGTAGCAAGCCTTATGTTCTTGGTAAACTTGTAGATTTTGCAATGATACCATAGATAAGATGAATTAATGGAAGCATTAACAATATCAGCCCTAGAACCTCCAGGTATTATAGGTAGACTTTGCTGAAAGTCCCCCCCAAGAACCATGACTTTGCCTCCAAATATTTGTTCACTATGCATTATATCTTTTAGAGATCTATCAAATGCTTCAAAATAATGTTTTTTGGTCATAGGTGCCTCATCCTAAATAATTAAATCAATGTTTACTAGTAGGTTGGCTATTGCAGAACCATGCATGATGTTGCACATAGAATCTTCTGTTATATGAATTGGAATATAGAACCTTGAATGGGCAGTTCTTCCAGAAGGCAATAATATTGCTGGAATTCCACTTGATGCAACATTTAAGACAATCATTTCCTGAGATCTAATGTAAGCTGTGAGAGCATTCCATAAAAATGTCTTACCAGTTTCTCTAAAGCCATAGACAAAGAAGAACCCTCCTGTTTTTAATTGGATAGCAAAAATGATATCTTGATAAATTTTTATTTGCTCATCTATCATCTTTTGCTCATACATTGTTGTCTTAGACTTGTAAAGGTCTCTATCAAAGTTCAATTCTTCTAGGACAAGATGATTAACTGTGTTCATATTAATCACAGTTGTAGGCTTTGGCAAGGAAGGAAAATTATCTAGTGACCTTCCATTTTGAAGAAGGATCTTATTAATCTTTGAAACTGCAACATTTTCCCTTTCTTTATCACTAAAGATAGATGCTGCATATAACCAAATATTAAAGTGATTAATAGAGTTTTTTTTCCTACTGTATAAATTTAATCATAAAAATTATATTATGACAAGTTTATAACTGAAGATGGATATATATATATATATATATAAAGAATAAGTTACTATGGCTATCTACTTTATAGATGATGATTATGTTTTTAGAAATAAATTTCAAAAGGGAACAGAGTTTAGTAAATAACAAACCATAATGATGATATAAGATGTGAGTTTGATAATTTATATTGCTCTTTTAGACATTTAATTTTTAGTGATAAGTACTTTTTTTTTCTGATCAAATTTGAATGAGACATTTTTTTCATTTTGATTAAAGCTGATGCATGCCAAAAAATATCTCATTTGGAGAAAGGGTTTAACATGTTTTGATTTATTATAATGCATTTCACATTATAAGAAGAAGGGTCTAACCTGTTCCAAACTGTCTTGAAATTAGTGAGTAATACATATCCTCATATATTAACTTGGCTGTTTGACTCTAAACTAACTTTGGCTGGCTAAGACATTGGCTAAGCAACATATTTGCAAAAAATCTTCTCAGATAATGCCCTGATGCCCATATAGAGGCTTCTTTGATTGCATTAATATACTCTTGGTCGTCATCAAGAAGCCCTAAAGCATAGCATGTAGATCTGAATGTTGGATATTGAACATTATTTATAGTACTTATATCTTCAAAAGAAGTTAGGCCTCTGACTTTTGTAAAGAGACAATGTAGATAATATTATTCTCCTTGAGATGGTGAAGCATGTGCAATTCTTCCAATTGAGAATCCCCTTTGTCATTTTTTCCATATCTTTATCTTCTTATCAAAGACATAGTGTGTGGGGAACTCAGAATATGTTAGAGTTCTTGCAACTGT